ACGAAAACCTCACACTTCATAATTTTCTTCATAAAATGCAAAACGTTGCCACTTTACGGGTAGTGCGGCAATCTAGCAAAGCAAAAAAGAGGAATTTTCGATGTTTCAAAATAGTAGAGATTTTTCTACGTTCTGATATTATTGAAAATTATCTAAATATATCAAATATAATTCTCAAGACATTTATTCGAAACAATCAGCTCCCACAACAATATTTCTTATTAGTTGTTGTTGTCGTAACGGTTATCTAGTGCCCACTTGGGTGGTAAGCTATAGTTTGGTTTTCGTCGAGGTTATCTAACGGAAGGCCCTGGAAGCTGTTTCGACGAGGTCGGACCATAGGGAAATGGGCGTTAGATGAGTGGGGCTCGTTGGGCATTCAAAGAGGGGTCGATCCTGGATAAGTAGGAGTTAAACCTTCTACAGTATCCAGAACGAAGTTGCGCGAGGGTCACTCTAGATTCACGAGGCAAATCGAACTCTACGTCTGCGATTGGTGGTGGTTTGACTCCTAGTGCTCCGTTCACTGAGAGGGAATCGATGAAGGTGTTGATGGCTCCACTGTGAATGGTGGTCAGTGCTTTTCTAAAGTTCGTTGCGTCCGAAGTCTGGTCGGCGTACTGTCTAATGTCGTCGACGTAATCAAGGAAGGACCACTTGATGTTCCTAAAAGGCGGTTCCGCTTCAAGCATATGACTACGGGGGTGGTTTCTACGAAAACATCCCAGCAGAAACTGCTAGGAGAGGAGTTCGTTATGTTCCTTAACCGGAAGCATACGGGCCTCACTTTGGGGGTGTTCTATTGGGGACATCAAGAGGCATCCCGTGATAGTCCAGAGTGCAGTGTTTTAACAAGTCTGAAGCTTCTTCGTCTGCGTTGCACTACATTCAGGCGACCATATTGGAGCGGCTGGATCGACTAAAATGTCTAGGTTCAGTTTGAACTCCTTCGTTCAGTTTGTAAAAATGGTCGCTGTGTATTTAGTGGGGGAGAGTGTCAGGCTCCTTAGATTAGATTCCTTGCAAAGAAGAAGCGAATAAGGTCGGTCCATTATGTCGGTTCAAACAATATTTATTGAATTTTGTTTTGTATTTGAGTTTCTAACATTTAATAATGGACATTTTTACGTTAAATTGAATACTATATTATAATTTTATTATCTACATACTTGCGCATTAAATATGCATATCTATATTAAAATTAAAATATAACTGCTTGCAATATACAGGTTGGTTGAAAAATTTCTGCTTTCACCAAGAAATAGCACTACTAGCAAGTATGAAATGATGCGAAACTCTTTGATTTGAGAGAGAGCTGTCAAAACCCACATTTTTTATAATATTTGTCAATTATGCCACTGTCGAAGGAAAAAGGATTGGGTATTTTAAAAATAACTTTTGGGTATTTTGCATTTCGTTATTATTTTTAGGTGCTCGGTTCCCGAGTAGGCATATACATCCCTAAATACGTGTATTCATATTATACAATTTTTAAAATAACATAATAAAAAAACTGTATATAAATAAAAAAAGTATAACAAACAACATAATTCATAATAAAATATAATGGTTTTATGATTAACGTTTTAAATTATATTAGCAAAAAAACTTTAGTTGCACGTTCCTTGAAATTTCGTTTCGTACTGCTTTTGTTAGCTATTTTTAGCGGGTTTATTTCTGGCATCCCTAAAAATTCCCTAATCTTAATAAAGAGAATAACAGGAAAATGAGTCTCGTATCATGTCATCCTTGCTACTAGCTCTAAACTTTATTTTTTCTAAGTTGGTACATCTGTCGTGAGCACCATCGTTAAGGGGGAGTAGAGAAACTATCAGCTGATTATATGTAAACAAAGCGACAGCTGAGAGGTGACCATGGACCGTTCCCATAACAGTCGAGTCTACGTAACCGGAATGGACCCCGATTTTTTCCGGCCAAGGACTGTCAACTCGGCCAAATTCTGCCGCTACAACCACAACAGGTGACCATGGAGAAATGTCAAGTCCGCTTCGGGTAGAGTTTCTATTGGCATCTAAGATGGCCGATTTCTGTTGCATATTATTTTTCTTTACTTTGATGAAAAAGTTGTTCCCAAAATATTGATTATATGTAAAACTTTTAGTTTTTTTTAAATAAAATCAGTTTATTTTGATATATATTCTTAAAGGAGCGGGTATTATTGGCAAATTCCAGTATTATTATGATATATATTTTTGCCTCTATTAATAAATGATTAATAAGTATTTACCACAGAAAATTATAAGTAGCAGTGAAATATGTTAACTGATGTCGGTTCAAACAAATTTATTGAATTTTGTTTCGTATTTGAGTTTCAAAAACTTAATATTGGAGGTTTTTATGTTAAATTCAATACTTTATTATCTTCATACTTGCATTTTAAATTTGCATATTTCTATATTAAAAATAAAATATAACTGTTTACAATAAATATAATTTCATTTACCACAATTTATCACTGAAAACAATCTCCTTGAATATGCAATCTTGTTTTGCTATGCTCACCATCGCTTTCTTCGATTTTGCAGCATCTTGTACCTTTTCACGAACTTCACTGGCCTTTACATCGTTACGCAAATAGAACAACCGCACAATATGATCTTCACTTAAGGAGGGATAATTTCCTAGAAGTGTATGAAGGTCTAGCACAAGTAATTCAATGTCACTAGACAATAATTCTGAGAGCGTTGTAATCAAATCCAATGGGCTATCGCTCATCGCTAAATTGGGTGCGATTTTCTCGAAGCATTGCTTAAAACGTTTTGATTCCTGTTTGATTTTTGTAGTGATTGCTTCACATTCGCTTTTTGTCTTTGATAAACGTTTAGATAGTAAGGCACGTATATAACGTTTTGCAAGTAGTTTTTGAGCCTCATTAATTACCATTTCAAAGTTATTAGGACGCAAGTGCTTATAATCCTATACATACAAAAGACTATGATTGAGAGTTTCCATTAAAAGTTAATTATGTAAGCATACCTGGAAATAGTCCAACAGAGTTACACATATGGTATCTACAGAAATTGTGGACCCCAGCCATTTTAATGTAAACAAATCATTAAAGTGACATTCCATATCGAGGAAAGCTTCTTCGAGTAGATAATTAGTGGCATGTGCTCTAATACGCTGGAATGTAGTAAGTAATTTTTCAAAATCTTCATAATGTTCTGTACGAGATTTAGGCCAATACAACTGCTTCATTTGCTGAGCCAGTTCAACCATTTGTTGGCTATTATTAACAATCGTTATTATATAGTGTGTGAAATACTTGATTTGATCACGATTACGAAAATGATGTTCCTTCAATTCAATAACATTTTTTAAATACGATTGTCCGAAAATCTCTACCTGCTGAATACTCATCACCAAAGCCTTAAATGTTAACTCAGAGTGTATTGTGTTAGTCACTTGTAAATGTTGATCGATCATTTGAAAGATGATAACTGGCGCTGATGTATGATAGTACTGTTCCTGTTCAGGCGGTTGATCAGAGAACCACTCTTGTTTTTCTGTTTCCGCTGTTTTTGTCATCCATTCTTGATAGTTTCTTTGCATATTGCGCAGGTACTCATCTTCTAGTGATTTGAGATGTTCTGGACGTAATAATGGTCCAACAACTTGTTGTATATCAACTTTAAGGTCAGGATGTGACATCAATTCCACACCAGGATACGTATTCATTACCCATGAGAGCATTGATACATATTCATTACCTTCGAGTCCCGATTTTGCAATATTATCCAGCTTAAGTAAACCAATAATAATTTATTATGTAAAATATAAAAACCTTTTGAAATTTTCTTACGTAAGAGGACAATCCATCGTGGTACATCTTTACATATTCGTTAAAGATATTGTAATGTGGAGGAAAACAGGGCACACATAATGATTTTACAACTCTTAAATCCTCCAGAATTATTTGTCGTAAAATTTCAAGATCTCGAACAAGCCACATTTTGTTATCAGCACGTTCCTCCAATTTTGAACCTTCTATACGGGTAACAACGGCTTCCTGCAATATCTTTAGTGCCATAGAGCGCCATTTCTTCGGCCTGCCTGGAGGTAAAAAACCAGTGACTTTTTGTTGCTGCAAAGCGAATTGATCATTCTTTTCCTCGCGTTCGATTATTCGTAATGCGGTCACTATAACAGTAGGCTCTTTACGAACAGTATTCAAGGTTCGACTTAGTATGAGACGTAATTTTTTTTCAAGCGCCTGGGACACTGTGTCCACCGTCTCAAAATGTCGTTTTAGTGTGATTTTGTCCGAAGCATGTTGTTTAGGTTGTTTATGCAATTCGTACAGCAAATCATCACGGGAATTTTCCAAATCGGCTAGACACTGGTGAGCATTTAATAGTTTATCCTCATCTATGAGAGTCATTGTTTTTGAAACACTTGCTTCGACATTGAATATATGCTTAAGATTTTCCATGGCTGTAGCATACTGTGAATGCTTCGTATTTTCTTCGCGTACAACCTCCAATGCATCATATATATCTGGTACTCCTTCCAGCAAACGATCCACTTCTTGCATACGTTGGCGAACTTCTTTAACATCTTGTAAACACGTTTCTAATTGTTTTAATCCTACTCGTACTCCATCTAGTTGATTTTGCATGCCCGTTTTTAGTAGAGCCTCGACTGAAGCCTTTTTTCGTGCAACGCGATGAAGGAATTGATCTACTTTTTCTAGTTGACCTGGACGTTGCAGCATATTTTTTATATCTTTTAAGGCTGCTTGACGCGCCTCTTCCTCTAATTGCTGTAAGTCCATTATTGGACTTTTCTATACGATTTATTGGAAAAGATAAAAATTTCTGCAGAAAAATAGATACGAAAATATAAATATTTAAAAGGGGTGTGTTGAATTAGTGATAATAAACTTTACAAGTATTATGCATATCGATTTTAACAAAAGTTTCTAAATACACAAGTGTAAAATTTGCATTTGTGTGTCAAAAACTACATGTTTGACTATAATTTTCTCATTACAAAACTTAAATATAGCAATTATAAGTTTTTATTTTGTTATAAATTTTATAAAATAAATCGCAACATGTTGGGATCGATACATTTTCCGTTTTTTACCACCACATCACTAATTCCCACTCAGCTGTGTGCATATTGTTTATACCAGGTGCAACAACAAATCATCTGTAAATTTAACATGGTCAAAACAAGTGCTTTATGCATCTTACAATTAGAACATTAATTCATTAAACTAAAATGGAAAAATTCAGTTTTTCTGAACTTTTAGCATATCAGGCTTCGAATACAAAAATAGTGAACTTTGAAAATGAGCTAAGTATCGTTTTAGATATTAAAAATTACCAAAATTTTGCTCTTAATCGTCGTATGTCCTCCGCTTGGCTAAAAGCTATAAAGTATGCCCATCAGAGGAGTTCTAGTTCTATTCAGCATGCCATTCAATCTGCAATTCGACTGCGTGAAGAAGGAAATACCTTCTACAGTTCAAAAACTGGAAGCAAATTTGATAATATGATTAATGCTGGTCAACGATATACTCAAGCTATATTAACTGCAATCGGAAATACTGAGTCTTTAGCACTGGCTTATGCCAATCGTGCAATGGCCTTACAGGAATTGGAATACTATCAACAAGCGTACGACGATTGTGTTTGCGCACTTGAGACAAATCATTATCCAGTGAAGCTTTTACACAAAATTAAAATACGTCAGGCCTTTTGCGCATATTATTTAAAGGATTCTGAGAAACTAAAAAAACATTTAGAGGAATTGGAGAAATGTACTCTAAATGAAAATTTTACTCAGAGAGTAAAAGAATTACAGAAAGGGTTAAACATGTTAGACGAGGAAATCAAAATCAAAACCGAGGAAGCCATTAATACGGTTGTAAAATTTAAGGAATCTACCGAAGTGTGAGCTCTTGCAGAACCATATGTAATACTAATTATAATTTGTATTTTATTATTTATTCACTGATAGGATTGACACCAAAGAAGCTATCCGTGGAAGATATATGATTGCTAAAAGAGACATAAAAACTGGAGAGGTAATTTTTTGTGAAAGGATCAGTTCTTTTGTACCTGTAGAAGGCTGTCAAATATGCCAACAATGCGGAGTTATATGTCCGGGATATCTCTGTCGATTATTTGAACAAATAGGCATATCCCACCTAGCCTTAAGAGTTGTACTAGAGGATTTTCCAGCAATATTACCAATGGTTTCCCATGAAACGGACATCTATAAACTTTGGCAAACATTGATAACACCGGGAGGTTCGCTATATACCAAAACTGGTGTGAATTATATACAGACACTACAAATGGTTACACATATGCAAAAAATGACTTTACCGAATAAATTATGGTTTGCCCTAGTAGCTGATTTATTAGTTGTGTACCTTAAAGATTATACAAATTTCTTCGCTTTTACAGACAAGACAAAGCTGAAGCAATGTGATTGGGAGTCCATCGTCAGTAAGTTTCAACATACATTCATATATATAATTAATATAATAATTTATACTTAAGGTGGTCTTATATTTCGGCATATTGGCCAGTTTATTGTTAATGCGCATACTTGCTCTTCTATTTCGCCAACATTTTACGATATCAGTTCTACTGCTAACAGATTTGGTATTCTCCTGGTTCCTCATATATGGACAAAGCCTTTCCACCTGCGACGTGGCATCTTACATATGATCAGTGAAACTAAAGAAGTATCGGCAGCAAACCTCCCATACCTCAGTATCTGCAATCATGCCTGTGGACCTACATTGCGACCAAAATTCTCAGGGAGGAATTTCTATGCATTAGCAGATAACAATATAAAGAAAAGTGCTGAAATTTTTAATTGTTATACTGTTACGTACAGAAATTCGCTTCGAGATATTCGTAGGGCATACTTAAAGGAAATTTATCAATTTGATTGCAACTGTACATATTGCCAAAAACCTGATCCTGACGAATCCTACGTAAGATTTAAGTTTTGTATAACGAATGATTTTCCTAAAAAATTTCTTCTCCTTTCAATGTATTATAGCTAAAATACCATGTATATAAATGCAGAAATCCAAAATGTGGTGAAAAGTTTGTGCCAACCGCTAATCAAGACGTTTCAGCAGCTCTTCATTGGTGGCGGCTAGAAAACGGAGGATTATCGTGCACGATCTGCTCTGAGGAACAGAATGTTGAATGGCTTATAAAATTTACAAAGTTATTAGAAAATGCCAATTACGTACAAAATCGTTTAGAACTGTTCCGTATTTATGACATGGTCGATGGTTTTCTGATGAATTTTCATTCATTAAAGATGGAAATGGGAAATGATTTAATGAAAATGTTTATTAAATCTTATAATGGTAACTATAAAAACCAAAAATTAATATATATTTATAATTGGTTTGTTTTTTAGCTGGCGTAATATTTTCTGCATTCGAGTTGAGCAAATTAGTGACTGTTCTCAATTTTTGCCAAAGAGGCACTATTGATCGATGGGGTTTACAGTCCATTGAGTACGTTACTAAAATGTCTGTTATGTGGGATTTAATAGCTGTTGGACTATATCAATGCACGCAATTAGAATTAATAACAATGTTGAAAGCACTTGATGTAATATCGGATGAATATAAACAAGTTTTTTTGAATTATTATAACGATTACCTTTGAAATAAATAAAAAACAAAAATTATTTTGAAAATAAAATTTTATAATTCAAACCTAAACATAACACATACATTTTTATACAAATAGGAAATGTGTATTTAGTGGATTTTTATTCCAGAGCATATATACATACAAATATATACATATATGTATATCTTATGTTTTTTTTACATAACTAAGAATTGAACATCCTACCCTCGTAACAGAAATTATATGCGTTAGTTGTATATGGCAATACTGTTTTTGAATTGAAACAGTTGTGTTATTTTCCTAAAAGTCACTATTTCTGATTTCAAGCTTTAGTTACTTTTTAATTACGAAAAGTTTTACCGTTTTTTGAGTAACATATTATATATATATTTTCTTAATAGATTTTCTAATTCGTTACTCCGAATATCACGTTGTTATCAACATCACATTTACCAACATTTATTTGGCTTTTTCTTATGCGCTTTGCTTTCGTACCAGTTTGACAAGCTGCAACAGCTGTCACTTTGCGCCATTTGTATGACAGCGAATTTGCGTGTGAATCAGAGAAATACAAAACGAAGCGTAAATTAAGCGAAAAAGCTACAGAAATAATAGTTGCACGCGAAAATTTTGCATATAAAATGCAAATATAACGAAAGGTTTTTGCAATAGCACCGAGCAGAATCATCAGTGACTTCAATTACACATACAATGGGACTCGATTTTGATGCGATCGAGTATTGCAAGAACGTGAAGCTGCAGCAAGCGCAACCGCCGTACGCGTGTCCAGTGGCTAAGTGCGATCGCAGCTACAAAACAGTAGTGGGACTACAATACCACTTACTTAACTATGATCACGACAATCCACAACCGATAACACCAATTATAACACCCAATCGGAAAAAGGCGCGGAAAGCACATCATTCAACGCCGAAAACACCGAAAGGAACTGGTGATGACATCGGTGCAAACGGTGGCGGTTATCAGGTGGCAAATCCTGAATCACTAGTTAGTTATAATGACGAAGAACAAACCGTACAATTCAATATTGACGGTAAAAGTGTACGATTAGCTATTGATGAGCCGCTACCATTTATTGAAGGTGAAGAGTATGCAGAATTAGTGGCGCGCCGTTGTATTTTAAATGCCGATGCACCACCACTCGAAGAAAATGCTACATGGGCGCGTGTTAAAGTGCCCGAAGCGCATTATCATGAAATCGAAGACTACCATGTGCCTGATGCACCACCCCGCCCACTCGCCTATTATCGTTTCATAGAGAAATCAGCAGAGGAGTTGGATGGTGAAATAGAGTACGATGTCGATGAAGAAGATTCTGCTTGGTTAGAATGGATGAATGAACAACGTGAAAAAGCCGGTCTTAATCCAGTTACAATCGATACAATGGAACTTTTAATGGATCGGTTAGAAAAAGAGTCATATTTTCAAGCTGCTGCTAATGGTACGCCAACCGGTGTAGAAGTCGACGACGATGCTGTGTGTTGCATTTGCATGGATGGCGAGTGCCAGAACACAAACGTAATTCTTTTCTGCGATATGTGCAATCTGGCTGTACACCAGGATTGTTACGGTGTACCGTTTATTCCGGAAGGGCAGTGGTTGTGCCGACGCTGTTTGCAATCGCCCAGTACCCCTGTGAGTTGTGTATTGTGCCCAAATGCCGGAGGTGCTTTCAAACAGACCGATCGTGGTCAATGGGCACATGTGGTATGCGCGCTTTGGATACCCGAAGTGCGTTTTGCTAATACCGTGTTTCTGGAACCTATTGGTAAGTGCATTTCTATTAATTTCTCGTGTTATGTATTAAATAAACAATTTTAATTCCTCTTTAGATTCCATCGAAACAATACCGGCGGCGCGTTGGCGACTCACATGCTATGTTTGTAAAGAAAAGGGTTTGGGCGCGTGCATACAGTGTCAGCGCAATAGCTGCTATGCTGCTTTCCATGTAACATGCGCACAGCAAGCCGGTTTATATATGACAATGGATACAGTTAAAGACGGGCACAACGATTCGTCAGTTCATGTACAAAAGTACGCTTACTGTCATGCCCATACGCCGGCAGATGCTAAATTAAAGACCAATCAAAAAGAAGTGGAAGATACACGTATGAAAATGAAAGAAGCACGAAAAGCGCTGGCTAAAAAACGTTCGACTGCACCCATTGTACTCATACCAACAATTCCACCCAATCGTGTACAGGAGATCTCGGGCATAGTGCACATGCAAAAGAAACAGCAATTTTTAGATAGACTTATAGCCTATTGGACTCTGAAGCGTCAATACCGAAACGGTGTGCCACTTTTGCGTCGACTTCAGAGTCAGGGCAACAATCATGGTGTGATCCATCGAAATGGTATTGAAGGTTTGCATTTTATTTCGCCTAGCTGCTCCTATCCCGCACTAAAAAGTTACTAACGGTTGTAGCGATTAACGCTTTATAGTACTTGCTATTGATGACAGTTTCTTTTTGTGATATTGAAAATATTATGTTACAATTAGACAAATAATTTTATTTTCTCAAGATTTTTTTTGAGATTTTACTTTTACTTAATTTCAACATAATATATATTTCTAATTAATTTGTGCGCACAATTTACATTGGCAATACTATACTAATACATTTTAATAATTAATAGGTTCGCCGGACACGACAGAGCTATACAAACAGTTGAAGTATTGGCAGTGTTTGCGTCAGGATTTGGAACGTGCGCGATTGCTTTGTGAATTGGTGCGCAAGCGTGAAAAACTGAAGGCTGCCTTTGTGAAAATCTGTGAACAGGTGGTCATGCTGCAGGTGAATCCACTTGAATCGGCGTTAACAAAACTTCTGGATACACTCGAAGCTAAAGACACCAGTGAAATATTCCGTGAACCGGTTGATACCGAAGAAGTGCCTGACTATTTGGATATTGTGAAGCATCCAATGGATTTGGGCACAATGCGTACAAAATTAAAACAGGGTCAATATGCGACGCTGGAACAGTTGGAAATCGATTTCGACCTAATGATACAAAATTGTCTCGCTTATAATAATAAGGATACGGTATTTTATCGCGCTGGTATTCGTATGCGTGACCAGGCGGCACCACTGTTTCAGCAAGTGCGAAAGGAATTGCAACGTGAAGGATTGTTGGACCATACACGTTCCGATCATGAAGATCATGTAGAACACGAGGTGGAAGCTGAACTGAAAACACTACTTGAGGCCAAGCCATGCGAGGAAATTGTACAAAAGTTGCTCATACTTGCAGATAAGTCACAGGTTCTCAAGAATCCCATGTATAGGACCAAGAAAATCAAGCAAATACGCTTGGAAATAACACGCATGCGTAAAGCTATGCAAAAGGCAAAAATGGCTGCGGTAAATTATAATCTAAACCACACTAAAATAAATATACATTTATTTAATTTTATTTCAACAATGTAGCGGCATTCAAACGTGAGCGTTCATTCGCAGAGCGACGACGACGATGATGATGACGAAGATGAACATAGTAACGATGTTACACTAAAAGCAGAAAAAATTTTGAAACAGTCATCCGGTCTCCAGCTGCAGCAACAACAAGCGCAAAATAACTTGTCAAAACGTTCACGCAAAGTTCCCGCCAATATGATGGTAGTCGATGATGACGATACAATGGGTGAGGAGTCAAAAGAAACCGCAACAACAACAGTACAAACTCCGCCATGTAGTCCCATCAAGAGTCTTAACAATAGCGCCTCACCTGTGGGCGTGAATCGAAGGTATGTAATGTTTGTAAAAAGTTAGAGCAAAATTCTCTTAAGCTTGTTAAGAGTCGTAATCAGCGAAAATTGTGAAATGTTTATTAATATGTACATATATCGACAAATTAATTTTTTCCGCGGCAGCACCTTTATAACAACAGAGAAGTTTACATGGAAAGTAAGAATGAATTTTATCCAATTTGATTTTTTATGCCTAGACGGTATTAAAACAAGAAAAAACGTTAATTCGGTTGCACCGAAGTTATAATACCCTTGTGTTTGCAGCAGTTATACGCTACAGTGGCCCGATCTAAACAATTTCTTTGAAGATTGTACCGTTATCTTGGACAATAATTCATACGAAATTTTGTGAAAATATTTTGTTAAGTAAAAAAGTTTTCCAGACAAGGACTTGATTTTGATCGATCAGCTTGTATGGCAGCCATATGCTATAGTGGTCTGATCTGAACAATTTGTTCGGAGACTATACCGTTGCTTTGGGCAATTGTCCACGGCAAATTTCGTAAAAATATCTTGTAAAATATAAAAAGTTTAGCATATAAGGACTTTTTTGATTGTTCAGCTGGTATGGCTATATGCGATATCGGCAGTTCCAACAAATGAGCAGCTTCTTGAGGGGGAAAAGGACGTGAGCAAAGTTTCAGATCGATATATCTAAAACTAAGAGACTCGTTCGCGTATAAACAGATAGACGAATATTCCGACGGACATATAGTCATGGCTAAGTCGACTCAGCTTGTCACGATTTTTAGATATATATATATTTTATAGGAACTCCGACTTTTCTTACTGGGTATTACAAACTTCGTGGCAAAGCTCTGTTCAGCGTATAAAATTATGTTGGTTTTGAACTTGAGGGCGTAGTGAGGTATTACAACTCGTTATGTAGAGAAGTCGAACTCTAGCCACGGCATTATTTAATATTATATTATGGGGAAACTTCAGATTTTTTAATGTAAATTATTTATCAAAATTCGTATATTAAAAATGAAGTTCAATCTTGAGGTTGGAAATAATGAAGCATATCTCTCTTTGTAACTATAATCATTTGTCCCCACTAGAATAAGTTCTTTGTGACCGTAACGATTTCTATAATGATCTTGCGTTGATCAATCAACCATCTCCTCTCTTTCTTTTTGCATTTCGTTTTTATGCTTTGGTGCTCGTAATCTTCCAGAACTGCGGTTTTATTTACACGCAAAGCGCAAGCAGCCCTCAAGCGACCTTCTGAAATCACCACACCTGTTAAGGATGAAACGACGGCATTAGCCGCTTCTGCCACTCAGAATAACAACAATACCACAACCAGCGGAGCGAGTGCTGCGGGAGCGGCAGCAGCAGCTACACTCGCCTCCTCAGCAATGACAATAAGCAATAAATTAAGTGGAAGTCATTTAACGCCACTCGGTGCTAGTTTAGGTCTCTCTGCGGGTGTAGTACTGGGAGGCACAGTAGTTGGAAAATCACCCAAACGAAATGCGCGCCATAAACGGTTGTCAGAGATGCGACAAAGCGCATCGATGTCGCCAAAGAAATCACCAAACGCCACGATCACACCAAATACACCGTCAACTGTAAATGTGCCACCCAGCGTAGGGGCGTTAACGTCCACACCGAACTACGATCGGATACCAGACAGCTTTCGAGTTTATCGCGCGAATAATGAACGTGACGTCAGCGACAGTGATGACGATGATTTGAGTGATATGTCGGGAAGTCCGTGCAGTAGTTGTTCTGGTTTCAGTGTCAGCGGGTCTGGCTCAGAGTACGATAGTAGTGATGATGATGATGACGACGAAGACGATGACGGTGAGGATGAGGGCGAAGGTGATGCTGACGGTGATGAGGAGAGCGAAGACGATGAAGAAGTAGATGGCCGTGATGGTGATGTGGAAATGAATGAAGTCGCTAGTAATTGTGAGGGTGATATTGACGGCGAAGCCGATGTCGCTGGTGGTAACGGCGAAGCGGTAAGCGCTAGTGCGGATAGTGACGATTGTGCCGAGGAGAGTAACGACTGCGTAGCTAGTGACAAAGTTGAAACAGACGCAAAAAGTGTGGCAACACGAACGCCAACACCCTCAGAGAAACGTCCACGCAATGCTACACGCACGAAGCAAAAAAACAAAACGGCAATGGAGGTGAATGCCAATGCAAAAAATCCAGTCACAAATGCAGTGCAGACAACGGCCACCACTGCCAAGACGAAGACAACGGCAACGGCAACTGCGCCGACGACGACAACGCGCTCAAACAACAAGCAAATACTGACAAGATCAGCCACACCCACCGCCAACATAAGCTCCTCCTCTACACCAATTGCGAATAACGCTAGAGGTCGAAAAGCGAGTCTTAACAACAAGTTGATATACAACAACACGCACAATACACGCGGTGCGGCAGCGGCAACACCAACGCCATCAACATCGTCTCGACCTACATCAGCCAATGCCGATTTAGGTAACGAAGCGGGTGATGTTGATGCCGAAGAGGCGTTCGCGGCGACAACAGCAACAACAAAAATGCTGAAACCACCGCTCGAGCCGCTGCAGTTAGTGTGGGCTAAATGTCGCGGTTATCCCTGGTATCCGGCGTTAATACTCGATCCCAAAACACCGAAAGGTTTCGTATATAACGGTGTACCACTACCGGCGCCACCACCCGATGTGCTTGCGTTGCGCAAAAACTACACCGAAGATGTGGTCTTTCTAGTGCTATTCTTCGATGTGAAACGGACGTGGCAATGGCTGCCGGCAAATAAACTCGAAATACTGGGCATCGATAAGCGACTGGATCAGCAGAAATTGGTGGAATCACGGAAGCCCACTGAACGCAAGGCGGTGAAAAAAGCATACCAAGATGCGCTGCATTATCAGAGTCAAGTGTCCGATCTGGAAGGTCAGGGGCCCGATCCGATAATGTGAGAAGGTGCAATGACGGTTGGCGTTTGGAGGAAAATGCGTCACAAACGACGCTGAAGCACAATGTAGTGATTGCTACTGATGCTATTGATGACGCCGACCGTTGTAGTTGCACATACATACATACTTACATATAAATGCGAACGCATAATTCGAAGCGACACTTATGCATGTATACAGAAATGTCACTTTAATTATTAGCTGCTAGTTTTTAGTTCTATAAGTTTATATATAAATATATATTTGATTGATGTTTACATTTGCTACGATAAGTAATATATACATAAATACATAAATGCTAAATATAATTTTATATTTTGCTAAATTAATATAATATAATAATATTAATTAAGTCTTGAAACATAAAAATTTGCCTTTACTGCAATTTGCACTACTCTATATTAGATAACCTTAAACGTAACGAACACACTTTTTAAATGTAATTTTCAAAATTGTTCTCATATACCATTTCATAATTTTCAACTTGCACACGAAATGTGGTTTTTTATGTTTTTTTTTAATTGCTTCACTTTTCACTTTTTAGTTGTCTACTTTTTTCTTTGTTTCTTTATTTTCTTCTGCTATAGCTTCTAGTAAAGTTCTCACTGAATTTCGTTAATTTATTCTTACGTGAATTGTTTGAAATTTTATAGAGAAAATTATAAAATTTTGGGTATTTCCCAAGCGCACTTAAAGTGCTGTTGTATACATAAATTTCTTTCTTTGCAAATTAAATAGAAGATAGCCTGCATTTTGATTGTAAATTTTACTATAATTTGATTTTGATTTTCAAATTAAAATAAAGTATTTTGTTGTTGTTGTTCTTAGAAACAAAAAATACAATATTTCATTCGAAAACGTGCCCCCACGCCGTGCAATAACAATATTTTTTTTTTGTTTGACAAATGTGGTTGAAAAATATTTTGAGATAGTTTTATTATAATTTTTGTTTGCAATTCCAGTATAAATTACAGTTATTAAATTTTTTGTATTTTTAGCACAATATAAATTTATTCTTGTTATATCACTTCTCATTTTTTCAGATTTTCGACTTTCGCACATTAAATATTTTGAAATTTTAAAGAAAATGTTGCAAATTTGAGATAAAAAAAATAAAAACAAATATACAAATACTACGTATTAAAATTAAAATAAGTAATGTAAAAACCATATGTAAAATAAATAAACAATTAAAATACAATTTGTAAAAAATAATAACAAATGTTAAGCTAATATAAGCAACATAAAATATGCTGCATTTTGTGTAATATTTCTGATTGTGTGCATTCGTTTTTTCTATTTCAATATAATTTGCTATTGCGTACAGATTGTTTTCAAGTTTTTGCCCTCTTTTTACCTTTCACATTGAAAAAAATGGCAAGTTGTGTGTGGTTAAACGCGTTTATATATAAACTTATACAAAATCTAAGTTAAGTTTTAATTATTAAATTAAATTAATTAGTTTTAAGCGATAAAAAATGTAAAAATTAAAATAAAACACAAAAATTAATTAATAAATTAAAAAGATAAACAATAAATACAATTAAATTTAAAAATACTTATGTCAACATATGGTGATTTGGTGTTGCAAATTAGCACTGGCAGTGTGAATTATTGGTTTTGCATAATACTCTTATTTGTGTTTGTTGATTGAAAAAAAAAAGTCAAAAAGTAAGTTTTTAACTGCAATTTCTTTCAAAGCCAAATGAATGTTTACACAAAAATAAATATAATAAATAATTACCAAATCGAGGTTACAAAAGCAACGAATTTCAGAGGATTGTAATACGGGCTTGGTATAGATTATCAAAAATCTGTTAGGAAGTGATTTAATATCGATATGTTCAAACGGTCTAAGGCACAGGTAGTTTCGACGTGGTTAAGCTAAAGGTAGAGGCGTGATATTTTGGTCGATTTTAAGGTGAACGCGAAGAGGCACTGTATGTTAGAGTAGAGTATGTTAATCTTTAGGATATTTGTTGAAACTGTTCTGTTACAACTAAGTATTATTTTTAGAAGAAATGGGGCGAAGAAAGCATTGCGCAGCGGCAGAGCGTAAAAGCTCATAAAAAATTTGCAAAATAACTGTTATACACAAAGGAAAATTACAAAAATTATCAAAAGTTCCCAAAAATTTGTGCTGACTGCTTTGAAAACTCCAAAAGCACGCGAATTGAGGAGACGGCCACGAAAAACTACGTCTCAGGATGACAATTACATAGAGCTTTTATCAAAATGCGATGCTTTCAGGTCCTCTGTAGCTATCCAAAGAGAATTGGATGTAAAAATTTCTTCGAGAACTGTTGCTGTCGCCTTGTAGAAAAGAATCTCTTCGGAACGTTGTCCTGGAAAATCCCAATGTTGACAAAAAGACAGCGGAAAAAACAGATTGCTTTTGCTTCTGCGCATATCAATTGGACCGGTGAAGAAAATGCAAAAAGTGGCGTAAGATCCTTTTGTCCGATAAATCTAAAATAAATATGGTAGGTAGCGGTGGACAAGTTTGTTCGTTCGACGTGTTCGATGAATGCTAAAATGAATCCCCTATACACGGCAAAAACTGGTAAACACGATGGGGGTATTATCATGATATTATGTTTTTCGTGGCTTTAGTCGGAACGCTGTTTTGGATTCGGGAAATCCTGAAACGTTATCACTATCTGAGAATTTAAGAAGATGTAATGCTTCCTTATGCTGAATGGAACATTTAATTTGGCAGTTTCAGCATGACAATGACCCGAAGCATACCTCGTGTCTTATCAAGTGTTGGCTACAGGATCCAGGAATCAATGTTATGACTTGGCCGGCGCAATCTCCGCATTTAAATCCGTTAGCATTCCTGTGGAAGATTAGAGAGGTAAAGTTGGGACCTATTAAACTATGAAATAAGGAGGAACTATGGAAAAAATTCAAGAGCCGTGGTGTTCAATACCGAATTCAGTCTGTAAAGCTCTAGTGGAATCTATGCTGGAAAAGTGCACTGCCGAACTCGCAAATAAAGATTTGGCAACAAATTTCTAACATATATACATTTTTAAGTTGTAATAGTCTACTGTTTATCAGTTTTGGTTCCATGATTCTACTTTATGGTCAATTGAAGCTTCTGACAGTTCCTTTAAAAGTTGTTTACTGATAATACTTAAATTTATATTAAATTATTTTTGCTTTGGAAATGTTTAAAATAAATTTTATTAACCATAAAAAATAATTGTTTTCTACTAAGAACTGTGTTTGCAAATAGTTGTGGACAAAATTTTGATTCTTTTCTATTGTCAGTAACTATATGTATATTTCACCCTGTTCAGGGTATAAAAAACTTGTGCACTCGTGTTTTTTTTTACTTTTATACGCATCCAGGCCTACATAGAAACTCCACAATGTGCTTTCAGCTGTCATGTAATTAAAAATTCACGATGACAATCGAGTGAACAAAGTTATTGTCGTTTAATGGGTAACATAAATATAACGAGTATTTAATTTGTTCGGCACCTTTCTTTAGGTATGCATTAAGTTAAAGCTTGAGCTAGTTTGTACACAAAAATTGTGAAGGCGTGAAGTTAGTCATTGATCAAATAATTATTATGAGGGGATGTAGCTCAGTGGTAGAGCGTTCGCTTTGCATGTGAAAGGCCCCGGGTTCGATCCCCGGCATCTCCAATTAATTTTTTGTTTTAATTGTTTATTTTCAATAAGATACAAATATTTACTTAATATCGTTTTTTATTAACAATTTTAAAATTTTGGTTTTGTGAACTAAAATTTATTATAATTTTCTTTGTATAGTATGATACAACAAAACTATCAAAATAAAAGCCTTTATTACTATCTCCATTCCCAAACATTAACAAAGCGAAAACCATTATTCTCAATGCATCCACTTTCCGTCAACTCGTATTTGGCTAAAAGTCTCATATGTCGCCGTCTGTCTGCTGTCAAGCCATGCCGTCCCGGATCACCAACAAGTATCTGTTTTCCTGCTTTGCGTAGACTCTGTAACCAAGGCTGTAAGACGGCCGCAAATTCTTCGTCATAAAAAACATCTCCTAATAAAATTAGGTCTTGCTTTACCAATTGTGATGCGATTATTAAATTTTTCGTACAAATGTGTAAGCGCTCTATGTCTACACCATTCAACTGGGCGTTCAGTAAAACAGCACAACCAGCCGCTAAAAGATGCGATACAAATAGAGATATATAGATAGAGCGAGAGCGAGCATGTGTGCATATAAATGTCGACTTAGACAAATGTGAAATATGAGGGGATGTAGCTCAGTGGTAGAGCGTTCGCTTTGCATGTGAAAGGCCCCGGGTTCGATCCCCGGCATCTCCAGTAATATTTTTAAATTTAATTTATAAATTTTAATGTTTACCTTCATCAATGTCATTTGCCACAACATATTTTGCTTTGTGCGTTAGCGCAGCCACGGCGCTGGCACCACAACCGCTGCCCACATCTAGCACCGATTTGCCAGCCACTAAGGATGGATTATCGAGCACGTAACTGTTAATAAAATAGTAGACATTATGAATTTTACTTCGAAGCTATGTGAAATGAGCTTTATGACAAACCAACCGACTGATAGCCTGTCCACCAGGCCAGTAGAATGCCCAAAAGGGATCCTCTTTGAACAAGTTCGTCACATTTACATTTGGCACTGGCTCATGGAAGAGTCGGCATTCTGGTGTTATGAGATGTAGCGCTATCTCTGGTGTTAAATGATCACGTGATATTTTCGTCTCTTGTAGTATTACGCGTTCGATGTCCTTAAGATGCGTTCTAGAAATATGTAATTTTGTATAAAAAGATTAAATATTAGAGATTGGTCCTTGGGCTTAAATTTTGTTGTAAAATATCTAGCAAATGTGTGGGCATCATATCACATGGGATTCAACAAAATAACACTATTAGTATACATATCTTTAGAATCACCTATAAATAAGCTCATTTTGAGTCCAGCAATAATTCTAATGATTAATCTAAGTTTTTGTCTTGGACTGAGGTGGTGCCTATTGGTTTTTTAACGATTACATTAGTCGAGTCAAAGCGCGTTTTCAGGCGGAAATAAGTTTTGACAAAAGAAAAAATATGTACATATTCGAGATGTGTTCAAAAAATAACGGAAAACTTCGAGTTTTGAGAAAATATTATGCCAGCGCTTCTTCTAATCGTTGAAACACTTCTCAAGCTCGATTTTTGCGATAGTCTTTACTTTAAAGTTCTCTTTATTTTTGGAAATAGGAAAAAGTCACACATGTTTGGCGGCTGCGGTATCGTTACAGTGTTGTTTTTGAAAAATTCGCGAACAAACAACGAAAAAAAATTGACAAACTCTCCAAGCATGCGAAATTTTAAAATTGCCGTTATTTTCTCAACGTCATCTTGGATTTTATTTACTTTATTTTTATTTTTCTAACTTTTTTTCTGAAAGTCAATTTTCTCCTGTATCACCCCTAGTTGCTAAAACCATTAAGTCTAAATACACGTTATCTACTTAGTATAATACAATTTTTGGATAAAAGTTGGTACAATCGATTCAAAATTACCGAAAAATGATATATTGTAGTAATTTCCTTTGTCTCCTTCATTACTCATTATAAATTTGACTAGGCATCCTCACGTATTTAATACACCGTATTTACAACAGTCTGGCCTTCATAACTGGGGCGGAGCTGAAAATCCTCAAAACTATTTGGGAACTATTGGGCCGCTACAACAATACATTATATTAGTAATACACTTTTTATTTTACGTTGCAAGAATAACTAATGTTCGATTCCGCCAAATATTTGTTTTGGGGTTTTTCGCAGCTTTGAAGCTTTAATGTCATTCACAGGTGCATTTCTTATAGCACCAAAGGGTATAGAATATCTTTATTTTGATGGGTCAGTTTGTATGGCAGCTATATCCTTTAGTGGTCCGATCTGTACAAATTGTTCGCAGATCGTAGCGTTGCCTTGGACTTTTGATGACCTATGCCAAATTTCGTGAAGACATCTTGTCAAATCAAAAAGTTTTCCATCCATTGGCTTGATTTGAATCGGTCAATTTGTATAGGCAGCTATATGCTTTAGTGGTCAGATGTCGGCGCATCCGGTTAAGCAGTTTTTTATAAAGAAAATATTTTCAGATCAATATTTCAAAAACTGAGTGACTAGTTCACGTATACACAGACGGACATGGCTAAATTGATTGAGCTCGTCCCACTGATCATTTATATACATACGAGTACTTACTACTTTATATGATCTCCGACGTTTCCTTCTGGTTGTAACAAACACGCACTTCATATACCCTGTTCAGGGTATAATAAATATAATGTGAATTTAAGTAATACTAATTGTAATGAGAGCTAAAAATAGCATAAATAAATAAAAATAGAAATATAAATTTGCGCTGTCACCATGCTTATTGTTATAAGAATTGTGAGTCTAAAAATACACTACCCTACACTTTATGTTTTTGTGATTATTACGAATAGGCTCAACGAATGTGGAACCGGTATGCCAAGCACGTGCTCGAACGGTCAACTGCGATCGATTGCTTTTTGCCAAAATATTATGGTTCGTCAAATCTGTTTGTTTCGATTAAGTATGGTATAATTAACGTAGCGTGATATTTGTTGTAATAGTGAGATATGTAAATTTATTGTATTGATTGAAAAGTAGCGAAAACAAATAATGTTTTCATATTTTTTTTGGATATTTTTAGTATTACGTTTGTTCATTACTTTTTTGTGATATGATCTGTGTAAATATTTTTCGGCAGAATATTACATAAAACCAAAAGAAAATTTAAATAACAATACAAATAATATATAAAAAATGAGTACTTCAAAATAAAGTGAAGATAATAATATACCAAATAATTGCTAATTATATTGCTAAAAAAAAAAAATAACTGTGGTGCGCCTATGGTGTGATTTCCGCGTAAAAGCCCATTGAGTTTCGGCTTTGTTTGTAATCAAAATTAAGCGAACACACATACGTACATACTTACATATATATAAAAAATATGAGACTATGAAAAGATAATATATAATATAATTATTTGTTTTGAATGCACATCTGTGTAAACTTCTCGTCTGAATTAGCACTATTGACGTAGCCACATACGAATCAAGCATACATACATACACCTTCACAAGAATGGCATACTTTTAAATCAATTGCCAAATATTCGTAAACACTTTGAAAAAATGCACAAATTTAGTTGTCATAATTCATTATTTTTGGTTTATTTACGCCATTGTACTCAGCCAATTGGTTTCATTAATTATTTTATTTATTTCATTTTTTCCTTGCTCAAGCTCGGTGAATTCGTGAAGGCACAAGAATTTCGTGCTTCGTTTAATAAGTACGTGAATAAGCCGTGTACTGCGTTGAAGTCAAGTAAAGTACGAGTAAGCTTTTTCATTACTTTTGTCTTTAGCTAAGGTCAGAATTTACGTCAAATGCAATAACAGCAATTTAATGTCAAAATATTTGTTTTTCAACTTGGATCTATGACCGCTTAAATATTTTAAGTTCTTCAAAAATAATTTAATTTTAATCAGAAACTGGGGTTTGCCAACATAAAGGCTTATTCAATAAACACTTGCGAAGAGGCTCAAATAAATTTTTAGTGTAGAGCTGTATAACTGGTCTAACTTTGTCAGTTTATTGTTGTAGTGAAGAAAAAGAAATGGCTTTTCTTAAGGTTTTATCTATAAATATACATACACACATGTGTATTACAAAATTACATGTCACGTTTTGTCCGAGGTAAACTCCTAAACTACTGAACCGATTTTAGTATAATTTAGCACAATGTGTACAGATTGTTGTAACTTAAAAGAAAGGATGTTTATATCTCATTTAATTACAATATAAAGTCAAAACAATTCATAACTAAAAGAAAAAAATTTTTAAAAATAAGCATGCGCTCAAAACTCAAAAAATACAAAATAATAATAATTATAAATTGGAGTAAAATGTCAAAGAAAACTCATTATTTTTCCATTGACAAATTGTATTTACATAAACAATTTTCAAAATTGCAGCCCAAGAAAAATCCCTTGGATTCTTAAGCCGGGAATAATTACTCGTAAATAATAGTTTCACTGCATTAAATAGTTTATTATGATAGTATTTAATGTCTACCATAGCTACAGCAATACGAGGTCAAATCTACTAGTTGAAGATATAAATATTTGAAAATATGTATAAAAAATGTTTATTAACATTTTGATACAAGATTTTTGGCAACTGGGCCAATGTTCGCAATTATCTTTTTCAAAAGTGTTTCAACGACAGTTCTTCTGGGAACTCGCGCTACCTATAACAAAGAAGGACACAGAATCGTAATTTACATAATACTTGCGCCTTTAGCTTATACTAAAACGTCCTATATACAGGGTGGCGCATGAATCGTGCTACAAAAAAAAACCATAATAACTTTTTTTCTCAATGCATTACATTTGTTGTTTTTTTATTGTATAGAAAATTTTATTTTATTTTGTATAATTAATTATTTAAAAAAATTATGTACCGTAAATGACCTCCATGCTCAGCCACGCACCTACGATACCTATATGTAAAATTATTCTTTGCGGCCTGAAGGGTTGATGTCGGGATTGCTTCAATTAACGATTTAATTCACTGCTTCAATTCAGTCAGATTTCTCGGTCAGATTTCGTAGTTCTGGGTAAAAAAAACTCGTTCAACATCTTTAAATAACGATGCCCATTGACAGTTATTGTTACACCGTTTTCTTCAAAGAAGTGTGGCCCGACAGATCTAGAGAGTTTTATCGGCTTGTTATTTGAACTTTGTACGGAAACTGGTTTAAGTCGTCATGAATTATCCGTTGTAATGACCGTCTGCTAACTCCAAGTTAAGACGATAAGTTGCGCGTCGAAACTCTTTGATTTGCCTGAATTGACGATGCAACAGCTGCGTTTGTTACTTGTACACGAACATACGGATCTTGATGGTCATAATGGCACACCTACTTAATTAATTATTTTTAAGTGCCGCCAAAAACCAAAAAAATCTTACATAATAATATACCAAATAACAAAGAATGTAAGTCGATTACTAACACAAAAAAAATGTATAACGGTTCGTTTTTGTAGCACGATTTGTGCGCCACCCTTTATTATATAATATGTGTGAATAAAATTTAATAATAATTCTAATTAATAAACAGATAATGAGGACGTAAGTGCGAATAAAAATAACTTAATGCTTTAAAAGCCTCCGAATATGATGAATGACCTGATTGTATACACACATATGTACATACGGCCTTATGTACCTACTTACTCATAAATCCGTAAATGAAGTGAACTTAAGAATTGTAACATCTTAATAAAAGATTATTTTTAATACAATAAATAACTCGAAATACCTTAACTCCAATTAGGGTCTTTGGGGAAATCCATCAAAAAAAATATTTTGCCGCTTTTGTACGCACACACATACAAAGGGGCATTATTAGCGTATATGACTGTACAACAACATTGTGCAAACATTTGCGGTTAAGTGCATAAACAAAAACAATAAAAAGTGAGTAAAAACGTACGACAAAGAAGCTGAAACTAGTTTCCTTGATCGATTGACGCAAACGGAAAAGGGTAACGCTACTAAGCTTTATAAGCGTACAAAAGCCCACAAAGGAACCTCAAAAGCCTAAAATCAGCGTTAAAATGGGAAAAAGCCGTACTGAAAGAGCAAATGTGATTTATATTTAATATGTACGATTGTATGTTTGCATTGTATATGCCGGTATTTATATAG